TGACACCCCCCCATCCCGGTTCATCCTTCCCCCCCGATTTTCCTTTTAGAAACATTAAAAATTCCATTCCCCAAGCACCGTGCCTGCTCGTTTATTGCAGTCTCTCCCGTGGTTGAAAGGGAGCCAGGACTCCTGGGGCCTATCCCTGGCTCTGGGAGGGGAGTGGGGTCTAGTGGTTAGAGTGGGGGGGAGGGGCCGGGAGCCAGGACTCTGGCCTCTTTACTGGCGCTCTCTTGCCTGGCTTCACCACTGACGTCCCAGTGTTCGCTCATGCTCTGGGGCTGGCGGTGTCGGGATCCCCGTAAACGCTGTTCCCAGGCCCTCAGCACTTCGGGGTGAGCATTGGGCCACTCCTCCGGGCCAGCGTCCGGAGCCCCTGCGCTGCCAGAGCCAGCCCCCTAGCCAGGACTCTGGCCTCTTTACTGGCGCTCTCTTGCCTGGCTTCACCACTGACGTCCCAGTGTTCGCTCATGCTCTGGGGCTGGCGGTGTCGGGATCCCCGTAAACGCTGTTCCCAGGCCCTCAGCACTTCGGGGTGAGCATTGGGCCACTCCTCCGGGCCAGCGTCCGGAGCCCCTGCGCTGCCAGAGCCAGCCCCCTGGTGGCCCCCCCTCCCGGCCTGTCTGCAGGCTGGCGGTGTCACGTCACTGCAGCGTGTTGGGCTCCTCGCAACCTCTGCGAAGCCAGCGCTGCGGCACTGACCCCCAGGTGGACCATCCCAGGAAGTGCCAGGGACCCAGAGAGCAGAAATCAGGGATGCTTTGTGCTCCCACCGCCTGGCCTTGCCTGGCCCCGTGGAAGAGGGGGGGAGCGCCTGCAGGAATGTGCCGGGGGGTCAGACAGGGCTAATCGTTGCGGGGATCAGTGTTTTGCGGGGGGTCGCCCTGGCTGCCATGCAGTGTCCTTGCACACGCCGTGCGGAGCAGGACGCGGGCGGCAGGGCTGGGTTTCTGGGTGCGAAGTGCTGCAGCAGATGGAGGAAGGGCCTTTGCCTGCTGCGGGTCGGGCTTTCTGCTTCCTTTCCTCGGATACACTCCTCTCCCGTGAGCCCGGGTGCAATAAACATGCTCCATGAGCCGGTTGTAGACGCTAAAGACCTTCAACCAGCCCAGCTCTCAGCCCACCGCAAGCGCAGAATATTCCCCAGTGCAGGATCCCGTGCGAACCCGCCCAGGCCCCCGCCCACTGCATATCCCTGCCCCACACGAGCCTGTCCCTGCTTTCCCCACTCACCCTGCCTTGGCGCCGGGGCGGGGGTATTCCCAGGAGAAGGAAGGTCACCGGGGGCCCAGATGCTCAAGGGGTCGGGTGGCCCCGGTCGCCCTGACGGGGCCTTTTCCAAGCTGTTTCGGGAGGAGGGGGCCTGGGTGTGGCTGGCCCCCCCCGTG